TTGAGCAGGGTAGGGCAAGGACTCTGAGCAAACCAACCCCACAACGGCTGAGGCCATGGGAGTGGCCTAACATACACTCTAAACCATACAGGTTTGGAATCCTGAACACTAACATGTGCCTCAAACATGCCCTAACTCAAATCATAGCCCTAAGAAATACCCTAACATATGTGCTAACCCTTACACGTACCTGAACCCTAACATGTACCCAAACCCTAACACATACCTGAACACGTGCAGCAAACCACACATGTACCCTAAGATGTACCCCCCAATATACTCTAACATGTTCCCTAACCCATAACTTAACCCTAACATGTATCCTAACACATACTCTAACCCTAACATGTACCCTAATTACTAACGTACAGTAACAATTACCCTAACGCAGTCTAAACCATACACGCACCCTTACATACACCCAAACAACAATGTGTCTTAACAATACCCTAACATGTGGTCTTAATATATACCATAATCCTACCAAACATACCGAAAACCTAAACCATGACATACCTAAACCCTAACACATACTCGACCTCTAACACAAACCTGCTACCTACTAAAATTTTACCCTTACTCTAACACATATTATAACATATACTCAAGATACTAGCACGTATGGTAACAATTATTCTTACATGAATTTTGAACAAAACAGGTACTCTTACATGTACCCTAGCATGTACTCCAAACACTCTAATATATACCCTAAGATAGAAATTAAAAGATACTCTGACATGTAACCTAAACATAACATGTACCTTAACCACTGTCACGTACTGTAAACCTTACATATACCCTAAGAAGTACCCTAAACTTATGCCAACACACATCCTAACATGTTGCCTAACCTAAACCATAACTGTAACCCCAACACATACTCAAACATGTACTCACACACTCTAAACATGTGCACATATCTTACAACGTAACCTCATGTGTACTTCAAGGCATGTGTACTTCAAGTCATGTGTACTCTAACACGTGCACAACACATACCGTTTCCTAACATATACTCCAAATGATAACTCATATCCTAACAAGCACCCTAACACTTATTCAAAACCATGCAAGTACTCTTAAACTCACTCAAACGTGTACCCCAAAGTAACCTAATATACACCCTAATGTGTGCCCTAACTTTACCAAGTATGTTAACCCTAACAGATTTCACACTAGTACTCTAACACATTAAACATACTCTAGACACTAACATAAATGGTAACAAGTACCCTAACATGTACTCTATAAAGCATACAGGTAAGCTTATACATGTACCCTGAAATCACCTAATATACTCTAACCCTGACCCTAACATGTATTCTATCAAGTACCTTGACATGTACTGTAAAATATACAAGTATCCATACATGTACCCTAACATGACTCAAACATAAGCTAGCATGTACCCTAACATGTACCCTAACATACCCTAATAAGTACTGTAAACCACACAAGTATCTTTTTATGCACCCTCTCATGTATCCCCAATGGTCCATAACACAGCCTAACATGTGCCCTAAGCCTAAAAGATGCCCTAACACATACCATAGTATCTGCCATAAGACACACTCTAACAAGTGCTCTAACATGTACTGTAACCCTAACAAATCCCCTATCAGGTACCCTAATTCTAAAACATACCCTAACATGGACCCAAACACATAGCCTAATGTGTGCCATTACTTTACCACGTATATTAAACCTAAAAGATTTCCAAATAGCACTGTAATGCACTAAACATGCTCTGGACCCTAACCCATATGATAACAAGTACTGAAACATGTACTCTATAAACCGCAAGTATACCCTGAATGTACCCTAACAAAATATAATCCATACTCTACTAATAAATATGGTAACAAGGACCCTAACATGTACTCTAACCCAGTTACCCTTACATATACCCTCACACCTTCACACAAAAACTAACCCAAACCTTAATACCCTTACACATACTATAATCCTAACATGTATATTAACATGTGCCCCAACCACTAACACACACAGTAACAAGTACCCTAACACATCAGGTACTCTTACAAGCACCTTAACATGTACCCCAAATGTACCCTAACACTAACCCTAAGCAATACCCTAACACACATCGTAAACCTAACACAATATTGACATGTGCCCTGAAACATCATAGCCTGCATAGTTCCCTAACATGTGCTCTTAAGCCTAGGTACCCTTACGAGCACCCTAACATGTACTAGAAATGTAACCCAACACATACCCTAACACGTGCCCAAAAAATAACCAAAACCATCACCTTAACCAATATCCTAACATATGTCCTAACCCATGTCCTAACCCAAACACATACTCTAACACGTATTCTAATAAATACCCTAACCACTAATACATGGTCTAAACCATACAGGTAACCTTCATGTACCACAAATGTATAACCTGACACACAACCTAGTGCTGGCTCTAGTCCTAACATGTACCTTAACCCTAACATGTACCCCAAAATGTTCCCTAACATATGCTCCATCATACACCCTAACTCTGGCTCATACTCATACCCTAACATATACCCTAACCTGAATCCACACACAAACATGTACCCTAACACCTTATGTACCTTAAAGTGTGCCTCAACCCTAAAATGTATGGTAAACATGAACATGTATCCTAACAAGTACCCTAACACGTACTCCAAGTGATCCTTACATCACTCTAACATGTACCCAACATGCATCCTAACATGTACTCTTACACATACCTAACATGTACCTAACAAGTACCCTAACACATACTCCAAGTGATCCTTACATGCACCCTAACGTGTACCCTTACACATACCTAACCCTAACACATAGCATAACCCTAACAATCCCAAACACTTACCATAACTGTATCATGTACCCTAATGTATACCCTAACCACTAATATGTACAGAATCAAGCACCCTAACATGTACCCCAAACCTACCCTAAATGCATGCCCTAACACGTACCCTAATGTACCTTAAACCCAAACACTATTTTAACATGTTCCCTAACATGTACCCCACCATACACCCTAACTCTGAACCCATACTCACATCTTAACATGTGCCTTAGCCCACACTCATACTCATACCCTAAGACATACCCTAAGCCACTCAGCAATCTTATGCCTCACCCTAAACCAGCTGCTAATCCAAATCCATAACTGTATGACTAACACTTTCTACAACTCCCCAAACCTACATTAACCCTTTACTAACTAATTACCTAATCCTCAATTGTTCCATACCCACTCTGAAGACCGCTCCATAACATATCCATCATCCTAACCCATCCCACAAAGTTCTTCCTTGCCCGTTCCCTAACTAACCCTGAACCTAACTTTAACATGTATTTTAACCCTAACAGATTTCACTATAGCACCCTAATACATTACACATACTCTAGACACTAACACATATGGTTATAAATAGCCTAACACATACTCTATAAACCATACACGTAACCTTACATGTACCCTGAATGTACCCTAGCATACTCTAACCCTGACCTTAACATATATCATAACATGTACTCTAACAAGCACCCTGACACATACTCTAAAAAACTGTAACCATAAAACATATCCAAACATACACTCTAATACAAGCTCTAAACACTTACATGTATCCTACAAGTACTCTAAAATGTACTTCGAGTATTACAAGTACCCTAAAGTGTGCACAACACAGGTAACCTTACATCTGCCCCAAACGTATAAGTACCCAAACATGTTCTCTATAAACCTAACCTTAGCCTAACCCATTCCATAATCCAAATGCTAATCCCTTCCATAACTCCTAACTTCACCAGATCCCTAACCCATTCTCTAACCAATCCATTATCATACGGTAACATTGACCCTAACACTAACTTAACTCTTCATACAAACCTGCTCTGTTTGGCTAATCGAAAACCCAACACCTAATCTAACCTATTTCTGATCCATAACAAAAAATTTAATTCTAACTTCCACCCTGAGTAGCCCTAAAACACCCAAACTTAACCCTACCCTTAGCATCAACAACCCCACACCTATAACCAATTCCTCAACAATTCTTCCATAACCTTATGCCTCTCATAGCTTTGGGAAGTTGGTCTAAGCTCCTGAATGTGTTAGGTACACACTTGGTGAGTGGATTTGAGTTAGCTCACAGCTCAGGATAGAGGACAGGTTTGGGGCCTAGAGTCATCAAAGTTGTTCTGACTAGTAACAACTTACCAAGCAGGAAGGAGTAGGCCTCCCTTCCTCACAAATGCCTTCACTCAAAAAATAAAAATAACAAAAAACAAAAAACAAATGCCTTCACCCCTTCTCGAGGAACCATAAGCACAGATGAAAGCATGGTAGAGATGAGGATGGAAGCCTAAGTTGGGACTCAGTCTGCCAAAGCATACACTGAGTTGTAGAGCAAGAGTCTTCATGCATAATTCAAAGTGTGCGAACTCTCCCCAGCTTCTCCTGACACTCAGTACATTTTCTCCTCAAAGTGCCTACAGGCAGAGGCAGGCAATCGGCAACAAAGGCGAGGCATCCAGGAGCCCTGTCACAGACAAGTGGGACCTGGTATGTCTGACAGGGAAAAGAAAAGGCTAGGTTATGCCTTCTGCTTCCCTCAAAAAATCCTTATCAGAATGTTGACATGATTTCAGTCTACAGGAACTGATTGGCTTCAAAGGCATAAAATGGAGAGCTTAGTGTTGAGGTGTTGCCCTAGCCTATGAAGAGCCCTGAACACAGTATCACCAGAATTCAACAAAGCAAATTGAAATACCTTGGAATGCCTGACAAAATGTCTGTAAGATATATGTAATGAAAACATAAACATGTGTCACACATCCTCTCACCCCCTAACCACCATACCTTATGCAGGACATAGCTGAAAGCTCAGTAAAGACTTGGTGCCATGGATACAGGCCTGGGATGAGCCTAATGTGCTCAAATTTGTTCTGACAGGTATCAACTTACCAAGCAGGAAGGGAAAGGCTTCACCTTGTTCTCCAGGCCCAAGTGTAGACATGAAAGTAAAGATGAATACTTGATGCAAACTCAGAGAAACACCAGTGGCGAGAGCAAGTTCTGATGGGATCCGATCCATCCAGACCATCCTACATTGGTTATACACCATGAACCTATGTTCACGATTCCAAGCTTCCAAGCTCTCCCATTTTATCCTGACACTCTGCGTGTTTTCTTCTCAAAATGCCTATAGTCAGAGGAAGACAACATGTATCAAAGGCTGGAAATCATGGAAAACAACAGCTAGAGAGACAGAACCAGGGCCAAGAGCTGAGGCACTTGCCTAGCTTGTGGGAGGTCATGGAACACAATACCACTGGAATTCACAGACAGTAAATTGAAACACCTTTGTGTACCTAGTAACGTGTAAAAGAGGGCTAGGAACATAGCTTAGTGGCAGAGCGGCCTAGCATGCATAAGGCCCTGGGTTGAAAAATCTGGAAGTGGTGCTGTGGCTCAAGTGGTAGAGTGGTAGCCCTGAAAGAGCTCAGGGACACTGCCCAGGCCCTGAGTTCAAGCCCCAGGACAGGCCAAAAAAATGTATTAAATACCTATGTTATGAAAACAAAAATCTCTTTGTGCTGGTCCTGGTGCTTGAACTAGGGGCCTGGGTGCTCTCCCTGAGTTGTTTTTGTCCAGTGCTGTACCACTTGAGCCACAGCTCCACTTCTAGATGAGCCAGATTAGGAATTGGACATCCTTTAGGGCAGGCCTATTCAGGGCTGGTCAAAACTGGAGCTGTTGCCGACAAGGGAAAGGCCCAGACAAGGAGAAAGCCCAAACCAGAGGCTCAGGGAAGGCACACACCCAGGGAAGGACGAGACCTGGGGAAGGCCGAGACCCAAGGAAGGCATGGACCCAGGGAAGGCCTGGGAGAAGAAAAGGACTCTGGGAAGGGATGGACTCAGGGAAGGCCTACATTCAAGAAAGAATGGGAGGGTTGGGAAGGTGGCTCCGTGGGAAAGCGCTTGCCTTGTAAGCCTGAGGCCCTGGGTTCGATTCCTCAGTGCCACATAAGCAAAAAGAAAAAGGCCGGAAGTGGTGCTGTGGCTCAAGTGGTAGAGCACTAGCCTTGAGGCATGGACCCAGGGAAGCCCTGGACTCAGATATGTGGACTTGCAGCAGCCCAGACCCTGAGCTGTCAGCACCGGATGTGCTACAGAGGCCTAGTGTGGGGCCTGCCTGGTGTGTGGCCTGGTATGGGGCCTGGTGTGGGGCCTGCCTTGTGTGGGGCCTGGTGTAGGGCCTGGTATGGGACATGCCTGGTGTGGGGGCTGCCTAGTGTGGGGCCTATTATGGGGCATGGCATGGGGGCATGTGTGGTGTGGGGCCTGCCTGGTGTGAGGGCTGTTGTGGGACCTGGTATAGGGCCTGGGGTGGAGCCTGGTGTGGGATCTGCCTGGTGTGGGTCCCTTCACTGCTCACTCCCTCTCCTGCCCCGCCCCTCCGCGCTCTACCCCACAAGCCCCGCCCACACTGCTCACTCCCTCTCCCGCCCCGCCCGTGCTCTGCCCCACAAGCCCCGCCCCTGGGCCACTCACTTCCTCTCTAGCCCCCATCTCTCCCGCACAAGCCCCGCCCAGGGCTGGGCTGGCAGTGAGCACTGTCCACGAAGCTCAGTGGCCGCCTCGGGGCGTGCTGCACGGCCCAGGGCCTGGAAGCAGGGAATCGCCCGCAGGCCTCAGCACAGAGGCCTGGGCGCCTGTCCCTTCGGTGGCTGGCGGGGACCAGCCTCGGTGTTGGCACAGCCTGGGGCTCCGGAGGAGGGCGGGGTCACCGGCATGGGGCCCGGGCCTGTATCTGCTTGTCGGGAACCCCGCAGTAGCCCCGCAGTAGCTCCCCGGCCCCGCCTGCTCCTGCACAGCCGGCAGACCCCGCCCCTCCACAGTCCACGCCCTGTTCCCCGCAGAGGCCCGTCCGCCCTGCGCTGAGAGGCGCCCCAGCCGCAGGGTGATGGCCACGGGAGTCGGGGCCCACGGCCAGTCTCGGGAAAGGAATGGCAGCCGGGGAGGAGGAGGAGGAGGGGGTTAGGCCAGCGCCCGTGGGCGGGGCCGGCGGGGCTGGGCTGCGGGGCGGGGCCGGCATTTCCCGCCAAGCGGTGCTAGGGGACGCAGGGTGCGGCTCGCTGGGCGGTGTCTGGGTTTCCTGTTGGGCGGGGCCCTGGGGAGGGGCGGGGCCCTGGGGAGGGGCGGGGCCTTGAGGAGGGCGGGGCTGCGGGAAGGGCTTGCGGGGAGGGGTGGAGCTAGGATTTCCCGCGGAGAGCAGCGCTGGAGTGGGGGGGGGGGGGGGGGGTTGGGAAGGGAAAAGAAAATGACAAAAAAGTCCCGAACCTGTGTGATCCGTCCGTGTACTGCAGCTCAGCACACCTGTGTGGGAGGAGGAGTCCGGGTCTGTGCAGGGGTGAGGGGAGGGGTACTGGGGTCAGGAGGGGCCAGGTGGAGGGGGTCAGGAGGAGGGGCTGGGAGGAGGGCTCAGGTGGAGGAGGGCTCAGGTGGAGGAGGGCTCAGGTGGAGGAGGGCTCAGGTGGAGGAGGGCTCAGGTGGAGGAGGGCTCAGGTGGAGGGCTCAGGTGGAGGAGGGTTCAGGTGGAGGAGGGTTCAGGTGGAGGTGGGTTCAGGTGGAGGAGGGCTCAGGTGGAGGAGGGTTCAGGTGGAGGAGGGCTCAGGTGGAGGAGGGCTCAGGTGGAGGAGGGCTCAGGTGGAGGGCTCAGGTGGAGGAGGGCTCAGGTGGAGGAGGGTTCAGGTGGAGGTGGGTTCAGGTGGAGGGGGGTTCAGGTGGAGGAGGGTTCAGGTGGAGGAGGGCTCAGGTGGAGGAGGGCTCAGGTGGAGGAGGGTTCAGGTGGAGGGGGGTTCAGGTGGAGGAGGGTTCAGGTGGAGGAGGGCTCAGGTGGAGGAGGGTTCAGGTGGAGGAGGGCTCAGGTGGAGGGCTCAGGTGGAGGGGGGTTCAGGTGGAGGAGGGCTCAGGTGGAGGAGGGCTCAGGTGGAGGGGGGCTCAGGTGGAGGAGGGCTCAGGTGGAGGGGGGTTCAGGTGGAGGGGGGTTCAGGTGGAGGAGGGCTCAGGTGGAGGGGGGCTCAGGTGGAGGAGGGTTCAGGTGGAGGAGGGCTCAGGTGGAGGGCTCAGGTGGAGGAGGGCTCAGGTGGAGGAGGGTTCAGGTGGAGGGGGGCTCAGGTGGAGGAGGGCTCAGGTGGAGGAGGGCTCAGGTGGAGGAGGGTTCAGGTGGAGGGGGGCTCAGGTGGAGGGGGGCTCAGGTGGAGGGGTTCAGGTGGAGGAGGGCTCAGGTGGAGGAGGGCTCAGGTGGAGGAGGGCTCAGGTGGAGGGGTTCAGGTGGAGGAGGGCTCAGGTGGAGGTGCTCAGGTGGAGGAGGGTTCAGGTGGAGGGGGGTTCAGGTGGAGGAGGGCTCAGGTGGAGGAGGGCTCAGGTGGAGGGGTTCAGGTGGAGGAGGGCTCAGGTGGAGGAGGGCTCAGGTGGAGGAGGGCTCAGGTGGAGGAGTTCAGGTGGAGGAGGGCTCAGGTGGAGGGGGGCTCAGGTGGAGGAGGGCTCAGGTGGAGGAGGGTTCAGGTGGAGGAGGGTTCAGGTGGAGGAGGGCTCAGGTGGAGGGGTTCAGGTGGAGGAGGGCTCAGGTGGAGGAGGGCTCAGGTGGAGGGGTTCAGGTGGAGGAGGGCTCAGGTGGAGGAGGGCTCAAGTGGAGGAGGGTTCAGGTGGAGGAGGGCTCAGGTGGAGGGCTCAGGTGGAGGAGGGCTCAGGTGGAGGAGGGCTCGGGTGGAGGAGGGCTCAGGTGGAGGGGTTCAGGTGGAGGAGGGCTCAGGTGGAGGGGTTCAGGTGGAGGAGGGCTCAGGTGGAGGGCTCAGGTGGAGGAGGGCTCAGGTGGAGGAGGGTTCAGGTGGAGGAGGGCTCAGGTGGAGGAGGGCTCAGGTGGAGGGGGGTTCAGGTGGAGGAGGGCTCAGGTGGAGGAGGGCTCAGGTGGAGGAGGGCTCAGGTGGAGGAGGGCTCAGGTGGAGGGGTTCAGGTGGAGGAGGGCTCAGGTGGAGGGGGTCAGGAGGAGGGGCTGGGAGGAGGGCTCAGGTGGAGGAGGGCTCAGATGGAGGGGGTCAGGAGGAGGGCTCAGGTGGAGGAGGGCTCAGGTGGAGGGGGTCAGGAGGATGTCTCAGGTGGAGGGGGTCAGGAGGAGGGGGTCAGGAGGAGGGGTCGGGAGATGGGGGTCAGGTGGACGGGACGGTAGAAGGGGGGCAGGGTCCCCTCCTCCGAGCCCAGGGCTGTTTGGGGACAGGGACGAGTGGCCGTGGCGTGGTCAGACCTTGAGGACAAGGGTGCAGGCACAGGCTGAGATCAAAGGCAGCAGCAGATGCCTCCTAGACCTAGGGGACAGGGTCTCCTGGGGGACCGTCTCCTAGACCTGGGGTCAGGGTCTCCTGGAGGTCAGGGTCTTTCTGGGGTTTCATTAATGCTCCTAGGTCGTCTTCTTCAGCGGCCTGAGGTCTGGAGTCAGTGTCAGCACAAAGAGCAGCAGAGGCTGAGGGTGGGTACGGCAGGTGGCTGGCATGTGACATGTGCTGGGGACCCAACCCTGTGCCTCAGGCTGCCCAGGATTCCTCCCAGGTGACAAGAGTGGAAACAGCCGCTGGGCATGTGGGGGAGTAATGAGTGTCCCCACGGAGGGCCTGAGTGCTGAGTGTCCCCACAGTGGGCCTGAGAGCTGAGCCACCCTTACATACAACCGAACACCAAGGTCTTTCATAATGTATACTCTAACATGTACCCTTAATACATACCATAACACATACCTAAACCCTAACACATACCCTAACTGTAACACAAACCCTACCACGTACTATAAATTTTAGCATTTATCATAGCAGTTACTTTTATGTGAACTTTGAACCATACAGTTACTCCTACATATACCCTAGCATGTACCCCAAATGCTCTAATGTATACCCTAACCAAAGATAAAAATTAAAGGATATTCTAACATGTACCCTAGACATTACATGTACCCTAACCACTCACATACTGTAAACTTTACATGTACCCTAACAAGTACCCTAAACTTATGCCAACACACCTCCTAACATGTTGCCTAATCCAAATCATACCATAACCCTGACACATGCCCAAACATGTTCCCTAAATCTAACAAATTATTTTGTCTCCTAATAAGTACTCTATCATGTACTGTAAGTCATACATG